CCCCGCCCTGCCCTCCACGATGGTCTCCGAACAACTGCGTGTGCGCGGCCCGACGACAGCGAGGGAGATGTAGGGAGGGTGAGGGGAGGGGCGGAACACGTCGTCCCCGCGAACGCAGCCTGTTGGGCGCTCTGATTGAATAACAAGCAGCCTCTGGCTACCGCTGGCTGCTCCCCCTCCCCCCACCCCACCCCCGCCACGGCGCGGCTGCCCTGAGCACGGCGAAATTCGGCCATTAAACTTTTCGGTCCGGTCCCATAGTCGTTCTGTGCCACGGGAATTTCCGATTCCGTAAGCAAAGTTTTTTTTTCAGCAAGCGTAGCGAGGGGCTCTGTGCTCCCCTATAGTGTGCCCTGCAGGACACGGCTGGGACACAGGCCGGCCGCGAACCCAGTCAGGTTGGCCGAATGTGGTTACCACAAAGCAGACGATTTGATAACATTTCCCTTATTCGTGCTGATGGAGGAAACTGGGAAAGTTCTCCGCCTTACAGGTGCATAGCATTGCGTTCTCCAGTTTCCCGTCTAGTAAAAGATCGAAAAAAAAATCTGAACTAAGGTGAACACTGCTTGGTGACGATGACGAACGGTCTGGTGCTACCTGGCTGGGCTGGGCTGGGCCCGCCGCCGGCCCGAGGCGCCACGCTGATTGGGGGGAAGGTCGGAGGTCCCCCCTCACCCGACCGGGACAGAGCGGGCTCTCCACCGACCGGGCTTTGAGATTTCTCACAATCAAATTCTCCGAGCTGGGAACCTGTCTCTGACCTGGTAGCGCTTGAGGAGCAGCTCCAGCAGGTCGGCCGCGCCGGCCCAGGCCGCCAGGTGCAGGGCGGTGCGGTCGCAGTGGTCGCGGTGCAGCATGTCGGCGCCGTGGTCCAGGAGCAGGGTGGCCACCGCCACGGCCTCGGGGCGCAGCGGCCGCAGCGCGCACAGGTGCAGCGCCGAGGTGCGCGTCGGGCTGCACACGGCGTTGGCCTCGGCGCCGTCCTCGAGAAGTCTGCGCGAAGGATTAGAAAACATACCTTAAGAGGGCGTTCAGCAAATTCAGTTAAAGTTGAGGTCACCGACATTGACACCACTTTCAGTACTTCATACTCTACTCTAGAAATCCTGATTTTGAGATCGGAACAAAACTGCAGTTTTCATGAATTTGGCGACGGTGTTAAGTTCCTAAATATCCCCTGATTTGGTACTAGCTCATTAAGGAGGCAATGCAGGGTGGACGATCTGGGCCGTCTTTTTTTCTGCTTATACTGTACCGGATTCATGTGTGCGAGCGGGTTGCATACTCGCTCGGGGCCGTAAAGAGCCAGGCCAGCGACGATAGGCAAGCTCGCCCGCACGCATGAATCCGGTACAGTAGAAGCAGAAAAAAAAACACAGCGCGGATCACCCCCCCTGTATTGCACTAAATATTGTCATTTGCAGTGATTTTTAAGCCAGATAAGAACTGATCTACAAGAAAAGCGCGCGAAAACCGTGCGGGTCGCCAGTTAGCCACAAATCAGCACTGAAAATGGCCAAAAAATGAACAAAAAACTGAAAAAAATCTGAACAATGTTTTTACTTGTCTAAACAGCTAGTCGTGAAAGTAGACTTCCCCGGGCCGCAATTTCGACCGATTCGGCCTTATTTCTCACCGTTTGGGTGCTAGAAGGTGTTGATTTGTATTATTTTCCCTTCTAGCCCCATCTATCTAGCGCCCAAAGTTTAGGAAGGGAATTTCCATCAAAGTAATGAAAGTGACGTATGTTGGCGGACTCAACTGTGACCGACTGAACGCTGAGCGCCCTCTTCTTAGCACTAACGCCACCCACAACCACAGCCCACGTACTTGGCCACCTTGTCGGCGCATTCGCCGTTGAGGACGGCGTTGAGGATCTCGGAGTTGAGCCATTCTTGCCGGCGCTGCTCCTTGCGCCGCGGCCCGGGCAGCGAGGCCTCCGACCCCGTCATCGTACTGCCCATACGGACGAAGGGCCGCGGTGGTGGCGGCAAGGGCGTCACGTCGGAGGAATCCGCTGCGGGCAGCGCACAAATAAAAGTTTCTCTGAATAAAATTAAATAATTATTGCAATCACGGAAAGGTTTCTGTACAAAAAAAAAAAAGAATCACAATTAACACTCAACATGTATCGCTACACATAAAATGATGTGCACTGGTAGCTTAGGCTTCCCCGGCTGTTCAAAAAATAACAACGCACAAAATATGTTGTTTTAAACAAACATGTCACAGAGCAACATTGATAAAAATCTCGGAAACAAAGTTTCTAGCTGAAAATATCATGTGTGGTTTATTTTGGAAAAAAATGTGTTACTGAAGGAATTACGAAACTTTTCTTGTACTGGTATACAACATAATAGTACCAAATACTTTCTGTTGTGGGCTCATATTGGCCTAGGAGATGGTGGTCCAAAGACCCCTTCCTTTATTTTGCTTGTACTGTACCGCATGCAGGCGTGCGGGAGGGTTGCATAGTCACACGGGGCCGGAAGGCACCGTGGTGAGCGCACGTCTGCATGCGGTACAGTACAAGCAAAACAAAGGAAGGAGTCTGTGGACCACTGTGTACCAGGTGGCTGATTCACGCCGCGCACTTCTGTAGTTATGCTGTACCGCATGCACGAGTGCGAGCGGGTTGCCTACTCGCTCAGCTTGTAAGGAGCCGTGGACAGGGGCGATAGTGAAGCCCGCCCGCACTCGTGCATGCGGTACAGTATACCTACAGAAGTGCGCGGCGTGAATCAGCCACCTGGTATAACAAGGTTCGAGAGTCTCCAAATTTGAACAACACTTTTGTTTTCTAACGAAACTGTCATCACGCTGTTTGTCATCAGCTGGCAAATAAGACAACGCTAAAATGGACGGGAAGTACCTTCAATCGAGAAACTGCTGTGTTCGATAGGCTTAAGTCGATTGGTGAAAATAACGAAATTCCGATATCTACACCCAGGTGTAGATAGCACCCTGATGGGACCATCTAAGGAAGGATAGGAGCGGAAGCGACGTGCCGATGTTATCCACCACCTCCGAGATCGTTTCAAATCGGACATGATGAAGAACCTCGTCACATCCTCTGACCACTCCGCCACACATCCGGCAGCGTCCGTTGCCTCCACAGGGTAACCGTCTGCACCAATATTACAACGTCCAGGATCATCCACATTGCATCCTCAAGCCATGTGCAATGTGCAGTGCATTAGCTGTATTCGCACTAAATCCGAATAAATTGCACCTACATTGCAGGGCGGGTGAACTGTGAACTCGCAGCGCCCGGATGGGTTGCATACTCACACGGGGTCATAAGGCGCCATGCTGACAGTCAGTACGCAGGCATATGCCCGCATACCTGCATACAGTACAGTAAAACCAGAAGGGGCGCCCCCTTAGGACAGCCATCCTGTCGAGCACCCTGAACATCCGTACGAATCCTTAATTGCATCCTTGTTTCATCCCGACGAATCACAATTGCATCAAGTCAAAACCGCACTGCATCCGGACAGTTAGTCAATTCATGTGACGTCACATTCCTTTACCTGTGAAAACTGTCACATTCTTTTGGATGCTACAACCACATTATTTTTCATATGACTTTACAATTTACCATACTTGGCACGGCTGATTCTGAGTCACGTTGAAACGAATGTGACATTGCGATTTAACCAATGTGACGCCACATGAATTCAGTAACAGTGAAAGTGCAAAGTAAAAATGCGTTGTATTACAAAAGAGTTCAAATACTTTGTGGTTGCAATAAGTCCTTTACTATGTAATAACGTAGCCTTATTACTTTGTAAGGATTTAACTCTGACTCGGTACATAGGCAACCCACACAATGTCCCGCCTTGAATCCTCAAACCATCCCTGGTGGCGGTCTTCCACTAAAACATTGTACTATTTGGCACGAGATGCGCTGCTAGACTCACGTGGCCACAGGTCGTTGTCGCAGGCCGAGTCCTTCCTGCCGTGCGGCCCGTGCGGCCCGCCGCCGTGGTGCTCGTGGTGGCCGTGGTGGTGGTGCAGGTCATGGTGCAGGTGGTGGTGGTTGGACTCGCCCAGCTCCGCCATCGGCAGCCCGTCGGCCACTTTGCGCCACATGGCCCTGTTGAAGGTAAGGGTCTTCATTTGTCCGGGACAAGGCCCGCGCCCAGGGGTGTGCGACTCCTTCCCGGCCTCAATCCCGACACGATGCTTTACAAACATCAACTGCAGTCGCGGGCGAGTGGCGAGTGGCGTGTCAGCGTCTCCCCGTGCCCCGGCACGTGACAGTAGGGGAGGGGTCGGAGGTGACCGCCAAGTCGCGAAGGATTCGTAAGCTTTCGATAGAGTGCAGTCCCCCCCCCCACACACACACACGACAGAATCGGCAGCATGTTGATGCCGGTGGCTGGCTGGCCTTTCCCTGCAAACGGTTGGGATAAAGTGAAGGGACGTAAACAATGTTCCCGCGCATGTCACCCGTGCCCGCCTCGCCACTCCCCTACTCCCCATCTTTAGCGTAAATAGCACTAATCACCGGCTGCAAACGAGGCCTCAAGCTTCAGAAAACATCTCCCGACAGCTGCATGCTGTGAGCGGTGCAGTGCAGTGTAATCCAGGTGTATTCAAATCGCGAGTGAAAGTATTGTCTCTTTGAAATTAAATTAGTTATGGTTTTCGAACTGAATTGGCGTTATTGCCTTAATAGAAGGAGGAGCTTCTACTTTACATATCTGTCATGATTTTTGGGTGACATTAAAATTCACATCGTGGCAGCGGGAAGCTTTTGTCACGGACGACAAAATACTGTTTGTCAGGGAAGGCCACGCCAAGGACTTGAGCCCCCCAAAATTTGTTTGAAACTCTTGTCTTATGACCCCAGGGCCGTCTTCGCTTACTAGGCCGCCTAATCGCACCTCTCGAGTGGATATAGTTTCGAGATAAGAACCGGTGAGGTCGAGATGGAGGCTAACCGTGCAACGTGATGAGAAGCATTGTGCATGAATATACTTTAAGTATTACACAAGAAAACTGTAAACGCTCGAGTCATATGTTTAAATCGTCCAAATCGAGACCCCAAAATTGAGCGCCCACATCACCCAATTACAATCGTATTCGCAAAAACGACTTTTAAAAAAGGTCGACTCGGTCATTATCAGTGAGTCATATAGACGCCATTAGTGATATAATTGGGCGCACGACTTACAGTATTGCGCCCCCAGGCACGAGAAACCTCATGCCATTATTTTCAGTAAAGGATCCCGGATTCAACCCCTCAACGCATGAAACGAAGCATAATAAATAGCGAGGGTCAGTACAGAAACTTGCTCCTTAAGTCCCGCTGCAACTGACACGTTTTATATCTTGGGCGTTTCGCTTTGGATTCACGGTAGTTCTCTCCGAGTCCCGGTGGGTCGGCGGGTGTGCCGCGAGACTTACTTCTCATTCAGCGAGTCCCGCATCCCATCCGCGCGCCCGGCACCATGCCGTGTACGGCCGTGTCGCTCGCCGAGCTCCGCCGGCGGGATCCTGGCGCGCACTAGGGCGACCCGGCCCCCAGCCCCGGGGCCTTGGCGGACACTCAGCCTGCTCGCCGAGCTCCTCGCCGCCCCCTTCCCTCTGGACCCCGCCGGCCGACGCGACGCCGGCGTGGCGCGCGGACGCTCTCGCCGACGGCGACCTCGCGGCGGCGGCGCTTAACCCGCACTCTCGGTACTCACCTGGCGATGCAGCTCCAGCAGCGACGCTCAGGTGGGCATGTCGTCGCTCGCGTAGGGTTCGGCACGCCACTAAAGTGGGTTCACAGCCCGCGGCACGCGCCTCCAGTTGGTTGTCCTAGAGCTCGTCCGGGCACCAAGCCTCTTGCCGCACGGCGCCTTCCTCGTCGCCGACCTGCCGTCGCGGGCTTCCCGGGTCGGATCCACTGCTGCATGGGCCGCCCATGGGCTCGGCCCGGCTCCAAGAGAGCGGCGAGAGGCGACTCACCGACTCGAGATAAGACGCTCGGCTCGGCTCGGCCCGGCTCGTCATTCAATGGAAGAGGGACGGGGTGATCCCCGGGAGTCCGCGTCCACGCCCCGGCCGGGCTGGCCGCTGGCCGCGCTGGCCACAGCCACCTCCTTCGCTCCTTCGCGCCCAGGCCCTCCGAGCCGGCCGACCCCGCACTAGTTAGGCCCCATCATGGAGACCATTGTGGGGCGACTCCACACCGATCAAACCATGTGTGTTTTGTGAGCAGGGTTGGTAGGTCACTCGTACACGAGGAAATGTGCTTTGGAAATTTATCATGTGTTTCTGGTGATTATTTACGTTGTTTACTTTCGCCGCATTCTTCTGGCGTTAGTTTTACTTGACGTGTTTAAGTAACTTTTCTTTAATTCTGGAAGAGTTTTCATTATTGAACGTACCCATTTAGCTTGTCATATAAAATTGTCGAAACTGGTACCAGAACGTCCTGGCGAGTAGTCGGATGGGTTGCCTACCTCCACGGGTGTCCACCATCTGAGGAAAACATGGTATGGAGAAAGATAAATTGATAGATAGACAGAGATGATTTCTTCCATTCCATCGGCTTGGGTGGCTTACAGGCAGATACCTGTGACGCGAGGAGTATCGGCCCGGAGGGCTCGGGCCCGGGGGCCATGCATGCGTCATCACACTACATCATGGAGTATCGGCAGCCAGGCCTGTGGCTGCTCTTGTGCGGTCGCACGAGGCTGAGAATAAACAGTGACTGAGCTTTACGAACCGGGTATATCCGAGAATACACCTCTGTGGTGCGCGGGTGTGGCTTCTCCCTTGACACCCCCCC